GTAGTAATATGTGTTCATGGCCAAAAAAACGAAGCATCAATTGTCTGAATGGCAATGGTTTATGTCATGATAGTATTCTCAACACACATTATCAGCTAAGCATTAGTGACAGGTGGAGTGTAAAAAAATGTATTTTAAGATATATGTTGTATTGTGTCGCATGTCATTCAATATTCGTAACACCATCACTATTGATCATGTAAATATTTTACATACTGTAGAATTGATTTCGCAGTTTATAATGTTAATGGTTAAGGATTGTTAATTTATATAGTGTATTCCTATCTTAGCATTTATCCTTTTTATGCTGTTGTTGAGTGATTAAAACCCAATAGGAATCTACTGTTTTCAAAGACTTTTAGTCAAATTTAAAGCGAGAAATGTATTTAAACGGTTTTTTCGAAGTTTTTTAATCACACTACATTTGCAATTCACCAAAGTTTCGAGTGAAAAGAAATTACTGAAAGTAATGTCAAGTATCTAGTCAGTCAACTCACCAGTGGTCATTCGCTTAGATTTAGATTGGTTTACCATTTCTACTAAATGTGCCTATAATAGTTAGCAGTAGAATAAGTTCCTCAAGAAAAACCATGCAGTCATAGGGAAACTTTGATGCTATGAAAATATAGCTAACATCGTTAATAGCTATCGAGGATAAAAATCATTCTAGTAAACACATAGTTAATAGAAAAGAAATTAACCACAATCAAAATCTTTTTACTGAATTGACAACCAATGGTTCCAAGTGACATTTAAGTTAACTAGCAGTTAGTTGTTTGTTTGTTCGTTTGAATTTGTGATATAAGAGGAGACTAGCTGTATTATAAATTATGCTGTTAGACGAATTTTAGATAAAAAGACTCATTTAAATTTATTTAATTCGTGTAAGTAGACTATACTAATTCTATTAAGATATGTATAGAACATTTTCTGTTTAGATAATTTTTATGATATTAGACATGGTACGACTTAATGGGGTCCAATATAATTTCATTGGCATTGATCGTCTCAAACCAGCACACGTCGATGACAGTGCCCTACCCGATAACTTGGGACTCAATGTTAGACCTACCAAACCTTCTAGCGGGATCTCTACGTCTACCTCGGATCCCACGCTAGATACATCAGAGACCTCGTTCTCACGTCCCGGTCAACAGCACGCGTCATCTGCACCATCTACGGACGAGACTTCCGTCTCACGTTCAGATTGACAGACCACGCCGCCTTTGACCTCGGATGAGATCGCAGGCTCACGAAATACGAACGAGACCACCGTCTCACGTTCCGGTCACCGAGTACGCTTACCCGCACTCTTTCGCGACTAACCGCACAGTCAACAACAGATACGGTGTAGAACTACTCCTATACAACATGCATGCTACTTTTTTTCTCTTTTTTGTATCCTGAGCCCACGCCTCCGACCATCGCCCGTTTGGTAACGTCAACTTCAGTCAACCTTGGCGAAAGCTGGCCTGATCACCCACGCTGTTGTCAAAGCACTCTGTCGATAATCTGGTTTCGAATCCGCCTGGTCGTTGTGGTCGCTTCCGGTTTCTTGGCTCAACGTGGTTTCGTCCTACGTCTGCAGCGTTCTCTTGTCCGCATCCTTACGAACGCAATCTTCAGATCCTGGTTACAAACCACACTGGTGTGGTATGCTAACTCGAGCAACAAATACACAACACTTTTCCTGGTACCATTCTACGCAAAAGATTTTCGTTGGCAACTCTAGGATCAACGATCGCTTCTTGTTTCGCTAATTCGTCCGTCCTACAACCACGAACCAAACCGCTACCTATCGAAAGTGTAAACCTTTTCTAGCGGGGGGCTCCTGTAGTGACCTACTTTTGTCAACAGAACGCGATTGGTTCAATGAAAACAATTATACCAGTGATTGTTTTACTGTGCTCGTTTGTTTAGCTATGCTAATGACAGTCATTACACTCACTCTCCCGTTGACTTTGAACTTGTACGGCTTGGGTTACACTTAGTAACCACGCTTGTACTCCTATAGCACGATCGCGGTATTCTTTCGATACCGCGAGATAGCCAACAAATACATCTCGACTACAGCCATCATCTGTCTTCTGATATTGGTCTATGGGGATCTTATTGGTTAATTGGCACGTAGTCTTCTTGTGGTGGTGTTCATAGTCAATATCAACTCGACCCAACTCTACAAATCTATTCCGATTGCGTTTAAACTATTGGCTTCCGTCATACTTCGTAGGTTGTTCAAAACCCGAGAAAATTGACTCACGAGGAGCAGGCTGGTTTTCGTTCTGGTCGAGGATGTATTGATCATATCTCCACCCTCCACCAAATGCTAGAACACCGTCATATTTATCAAAGGCCAACAATCGTAGTGATTCTTGACATCAGGGATGCCTTCGATTCGTTGGACAGGACTGTTCTCTGGGATTGTCCATTGAAGAACGGTGTGCCTGAGGAGTGTATTAACATCCTAAAAGCCCTATATGCAAACACTTCAGGCAGAGTGAGGACATACAACTACCTCTCTCCATTGTTCCATTCAAGCAGTGGGGTCACACAGGGTTGTCCAATCTCACCATTTCTCCTCAATTTCGCTATCGATGACGTTATGTAAACAGCTCTGATGGATATAGGTAATGGTGGTGTGGATCTGTTACCTGGAGAAAGACTTCTCGACCTTCAGTATGTGGATGATATTGTCTCACTGTGGTTGTTATCGCTCTTTTCTCTTATACGCACATTACATTCATTTTCTCTTCCAATTCTCATTATTAGTTTGTGGCGCATATACATTTTGTGGCCCCTTGTACTAATATGTATTCAAATAAATCCCCAAATTCCAGTGGTTCTCTTTAGATTCTTCTGGCAAATTATTGATTGTGTTACTCTTACAGTTAAACATTAGACTGACTCAACAATTACCTATGGGACTCAAAAAAATGAGCTGCTCTATTGTCTATGAGAGGATAGTCGTATGAGCTAGAAACTCATTTATTCTGCTGAAAACCCATATGATGAGATGGATTACTTTCATGCTCCATTCTTTGATGTAACCCTTTCATTTGCCACGCAACTCCTACATCAGAACATTTTTGACTTCAAATCAATTGGGAAATAATGATTCTTAAATGGGGTAAGCTTGCAAACCTATCTTATAGAATTTGCAACAGACTATATAAGTTACTGGTTCAATAGTATTTATATAATGATGTGAAACAGATTTCGCATTATTACTTGATTGTTTAGACACGATCTTTTACAAAATTCTTTGCCAATAGATATGTATAGACATTAAAAAAGAATCTTAAGTGGTTACTAGTCAGAGAGCTCGGATTTCGCAAACTTCATGAATGGGAAATATACTGTGAAAATAATAATTTGGTAGATAATAAATATATTGTATAATTGAAGATCTTTTTCATGGTCTTCATTTGGGAGAATCTTGTTTTTTAGTAATCTTTAAGTACGGACCAAAAACGAAATAGTCGAAAAGTTAAAGAATCATACTGATGCCCCAGGGTTCAAGACACTTAGCGTTCAAATATTAGGTCGGTTCTGAACCCCTTTACTGTGAGATCGATAAAAAAAGAACGGGAACGGAACGAAATTGGTATGAAATACATGTACAATGAACCGATATTTGCAAAACGAAAGTCATGTTTGAGACGTTGGATTGATATTTTGAAAATTAACTATTTACTTTATGATTCTCAGATTTTAGTGAGATGCTCTATAATTTCGTGTCAAATACATTTGATTTTCCACACCCGTATTCCTGTTCACTACAGTATAGATAACGCTAACACAAAGTGCATAATTTGAGGATAATTTTTTCAGAGTAAGCAAAAACAGGAATCGTTAAAGAACACTGCGAGGGTTGCTACACAATAGGATCTTAGTATAACTACGGGTAATAACCATACACAAGTAACTTCAAAGTTTTGTTTGAAGAAAACAAATATACAGCTCACTTTATAGTTCGTTGGTCAAGTAGCGAAAGATTCGTCAAATGAATTCAGCCATAAAAGAAACCCATTAAAAAGATGACTACTTCTGACTTGATAAATTTGGAGATTATAAATTAATCTTAAAGAAAAGGAATAGAAAACACGCAAGTCCATGTTTACCACCTACAATCCTATGAATGAAAAGCTGAAAGTGGTACATTCGATTTGTAATAGCAATTAATGAATCTCAGTCGTACTCAAGAGCAGCAACTCTATTCTCGTGGCATGCCTAGTTCTGGAATGTATTTGGAGATGAAAACAAGTTATTAAAACACCACTGCTTTATCATTAATTCACATAAATGAATTCCCTTTACTTATTATTAGTGAGGGCTCACAGAAAAGGCATAACTTATAAGTTAACACATGAATAGTGCGCACTGATATCAGATAATAATGAGCTTGAACGTCATAGTTACATAAAGCTATCCAACACAATAGAAAGAGTAAAGAAAATGATATAAGAAATAAGTAGAATCATGAATCCTTAGAAGAAACAACACTAGTTTCTTCTGAATTCATGTGTCTGGTCGTATTTCTCTGAGACGGAGTAGAACATTAGGGCATGAATATGCTTCCATATGTATATAAATACATATTTAAGTATTAATTCCATGGTATATTATGCAAAGGAGAAATCGCAACACTTTTGGTTAGAGAATCTTCAGAAAGTGAACTGTGATGATTAACCACACCGCATCTTGCATATGAGTTACAAAAGCAATTTGCACTTGTGTAATGAAATGACAAAACTGTTGGTGACAGAGACCTGCCATTTGATTAAGTTTTGTAACATGTTAAACAAGAGAGTTGTATTTTGTACAAGACTTATATTTTAGTCAACTAGGTTTGTCAACAGATTAGTATGTTGTAGATTGAGATTAATCAATAAACCCAGAGACGGAACAAAAGTTATAAGATTTACAGAAATGCTAGAAGATCAGGTTAGAAAGTAACGTCAGAAAAAACGATTATATACAAAGACACAATCCACGAGTAATTACTCTAATTCGTGGAATCTGGCAAACATCGCTCGCTTAACGTTATCTTTATAATTGTCAGACTGAGGTCCTCTTTTTGATGTTTTGATCCCGAGACCAACACCAGCTTCTCTAAATTCGGCCTCAACTATTTGAGTTCGTCCTTGATTACTTCGACCAAGACCTTGACCAGCTTGCCAGCCCATTTTTTCCATAAGTCGACTCCCGACGTTGGGAGCTAAAAAAATTATGAGAGTTAGATTCAATGAAGTAAAATGGTTGTTATGAAAAGGGTCTTCATGGGTTTGCGAAGTTTACGTTAAACAGAACGATTTTTGTGTAAAATGACAAATAGAAATATTCTGGATTATAAGGATACAAACAGTTGGAGAAAAGAAAATAATTTAAACATGTAACTAAACAAAAGATGATTTTAAATGGTCAACTTGTAATCCCAAGTTTTTTAATTATCTTAAAACTTTTTAAATCCATGAACATACTTTTTCCTTGAATCACATCTTCTATGCCTAATGATTTTTGCTATCATTAATACCTTTAATACTTGTGCCATTCTGGCGTCTTGCTGTTCTGATTGATATGGTATAGCAAATCCAACCGATAAACAAGTGTCCGATTCTTTGTTATGTATGACTGATCGACTGAAGGAGTTTGTCGTACAAGCTAACAACTATCTACAAAAGTTCCCATTGATAAACCAAATTCGTGAATCAGGGGGATGTTGCTGACTCTTCAAAAATAAATTTTATAAGAAACCCTCTAGTACTAAATTAATGACGACTACTATAAATTCAGATATTCGTTTCTTTATACAAACGAAATTATCGTTTTGACCATAAAAGTAGTGAAGACACTTGACATCTTTCACTGAAAATGTGATAATGGAAAGTTTAAAAATAAAATGAACAATTCATAAGACATAAAACTATTAAAATCCATAAACTGGATTACATATGTTGCCTACTATTTTAAAATAAATTACTACGCACGATCATATAAACTCACATTCAATATTTTTCCCTAATTCCCTCCCTCTACGCATTAGTCTTAATGGACAAAAATGACACCAGACGCAATAACCTCACCTAGGACGTTGGGGCAAACAAAACTAAGTCATCACGTTAAAGTTGGTGTAACGATTAGGGGCATTTGTAATATAAAAATCTGTTCACTGGAATACTTTATACTTCACTTTATATAACAGACTTAAGTGCATAGGTTCTTGATAAGTTAAGTAGTTGATGCATTTCAGGAGAGGTAAATTATCGGACTTAGGTCATGAGGGTTACGATTTATGCTGTTAGTAACCCCCCATAAAAACAAAGTTTAAAACTTGCACAATACACAAATCAAGCTTAATTTGGAATTACTTTCCAGAAAAATTACTATTATAGAGGGTTGATGAAAAGTAAATCCTACACAGCAACTAGCTGATTAAGTATGACAGAGGAATAACTAAAAATTTTGCTTGAAACTTAGTTTTACTGATCGAAAGCTAAGGTTATCAGACTTGCACAAACCTGACTGGGGTGGAGGTGGAATTGGTGGGAGTGGAGGAACGAATGAATCTTGTTCTATCTGCACGACTGACGGCTGACTTTCAACAGACTTCATTCTAGGTGGAGACGGTATTCCATACTTCTCACGACGCTCCTTGGCTCGATCACGATATTGACCGGATGCGCTTTGTCGACTACTAACTTGTCTAGAAGCCACTGATTTCGCATGATTACTGGCCGTTTGAGCACCAATCTGCATTAACGATGCTATTGAAAGGGAATTTTTAGGTGAGTTAACAGCTGCAGAAGCTTCCTGATTTTGCACAGGGGTTGGAACAGGAATTGCTGGTAAGCCATATTTTCCGCGTAATTTATTCAAATTTTCATAATGGAGACCAGAAAATGCTCTATGTTTTTGAAGAGTTGCTGCATCTTTGAAACCGCGGGAGCACAACATACAGGCAAGCTTGGCCCAATCCAAAAGTCTAGAATTAAAAATAATTGATGATAATCATATTTTAAACGTACAGAGCAGATAACTTTTTTAATCATGGAGCACTTGTTTAACAGGTGGAAAAATAAATTAGATGTTATTAATAAAAAGACTACATCACTACCAGCATTTCCAAAAGGTTGGGACAATCAGGTATGTATTCAGTTAATTATCACCATTCCCTACTTACACCATAGATTAATAAATGTATGGATATGCAAGATACATAAACTCACTTGCTTTCTTCTTCTGAAACCTTTGTTTCAGCTTCAGCATTGAATGACGTCAATGAATCTTGTTTTTCACTATGTGTCTCATCCTGGCCAGAGTCGTCACTATCTTCAACACCGCCATACTCTGCAACTAAACTGGCAGATTCAGGTGTATGCGAGTCACTTGTAAGTGGGTTGTTCGCAGACGCCTCCAAGATCGCATACCCTGTATCTGCTGTTCTACTCGCCTCAGACTAAAATAAATAAAGAGTATAAACTACTGAGCACTATTTCGAAACTCCAATATGAAAAATTAAAACTGAAATAGTGTATAGGAATTTAGGAGACAAATGCGTCTCCAAACTTCAGATCCTAATTGTTTTCGAAGTTTCAGACAGCATATAACAAGACCAAGGAATTCAGTACAGTACCTTCAGCTACTTGCCTTAAAACAACATGGTTATAGCTTTCCGAATATAAAAATTAATCACAGAGGAAAAATGGAGTAGAAATTCTCAGGTATTGCCCTTCAGAACCAAAAAGATAACAAAAAGCATTATAAGATTCCAACAAATAAATAATGGTCGAGAATAGCAACATTATCAAAATTAAATGTAGAAAAACTAATATCGTACTACAAACAACAGTAATAAATTAGACTAGCATTAGTCGGTACATCACGACACTTGGATTCGGGTTTTAAAAATGGTGTGACTTGGTGGTTTGAGACGTATCCATAGATGATTCCGAACATGAACTAATTAAGGTCATTTTGTAGATCTTGCATTCTTCACAAAAGTGACGTAAACGTTCTTAACTGAATACATGTCATTATTAGCCGTATTTTTAACTTAACTGCATCTATAAACTTATCTCGTTTACTTATTTTTACGAATTATTTAGACTAAACTCCCTTCTTTTCATATATTGATTCACAATTTCATTTTCTTGCTTATGTGGAGCATATTTATTTTGGTGACCATTTGTACCAGTATTTGTTTTAAATAGTTACAAAAAATACGGTCACAAAGATAAGCAGTAATTCTACAAAAACCTGTTGAGACTCCCTATCACGCGGAAAATGAAGAGGTGTATTTATTTTAGGTAAACTCACTGTTATTACATCGGAGCGTTGTCCGACATTGGATGACGCTTTTTTCTGAGCATTCATCTTCTTCGCCCACTTTTCCATTTCCCGTGCAATTTGTTGAGCTGTTTTACCACGATCATCCTAAAACGTAGAGAAAGATAAATGTTAGTTTCCTATATACTACTTTCAGGATTGCTTGTTATTTTTATCTACCCAGACTTCTACTGTGTTCATGTAAAACACTAAAAATATGAAACGACGAGCTAAAGTTAAATCTTAAGCCGCTTTTAGGTGTTAGATTGATACGTATAAAACTCAAGAAGAAGTAAATAACACGAAAATCAGTATTGAGCTTACTTTGTTTTTAGGAGCATCGGAAGTATCGGTTTGAGAGTTGGAAGCCGCATTATCGACGGAATTGGATTGAGGATTTGTTTGTGGTACAGGAAGATATGTACTCTTCGTTTGATCCCAATAATAATATTGTTGACTTCCGCGGTCATAGAAGTATTTTGAGTTCGGTTCATACATTAGACCAGTGACAGGATCATAGTAAAAGCGAGTAGACTCGTCGTATATGTACTTGGATGTGTCCGGAAATGCTGTGATAAAAATGTTAGACAGTTTATTTGTCAGTAAACTTTAAAAGTGTTCGTTCCCAATCGATTTTTATTGTACCAAAAAATCTATGTCTTTCCTAGTAATAATTATATTCCTGTTATTACGTTGATTGTGGAACATAACAAGTGAAACAAACACGATTGTGGATCAAAACACACGTTGCCTTCTCCATTAATCAACTTATTTTAATTTAATTTATAACCCAGTGAGTTATTTGGAGGCTTATTTACACTATACCACGTGCGCATTAATCTTAATAGCAATAACCAGTGTCACGACGTCAAAAACGAAATGTGACAACTCACTGAATAAATGTAATGACAGGATGTAAAGACTATGCCAATTACCTTCGAAGGAATGCTGATCGATTAATCAATACAGTATGAACCAAGGAACATTACTATCTACTCAAGTTTTTTTATTTAGATTACATACTAAAATTAATCGTCAAAATGAAAAAAACAGCAACTGCAACATACTAACAGCATAGGTGATTATGATGTGATGCATAGGTTGTGCAAATTTCAAAGAGAGTTTACCTTAGCCTTCGTGACTATGGAGATAATTTGGTTGTGGTTACAGGTGATGGTTTTAGGTTATGAACATGTTTATGTGTTTAAGTAGTGAATAGAATGCTGACCGACAGGATATAATTGATTGGTAAGCATAATAAAACTGACGGGTAAATAAAGCTTTCCATGGTAAAACAATACGTATACAAAATATAAACAAAACTGCATAATATTTACGCCTTCCTGACGAGTGCTAACTAGGGCGAGATTAAAATCCATGAGTTCCTTTCAACCATCCAAAGGCAGAAAAGAGTTTATGTGGTGTCAAATAACTTAGACTAGTAGCTACAAAGCAACTCGACTGAGAGGACCCGCTCAATTCCAAGGATCAGAAAAACATGACATTGGCTACTACTTAATGGTTAATCAACGTGAAAAAGAAACAAAATTACGATGGGGTTTTGCATACCACTTAATAATCAGTTAAAGTACAACCCGAGTATTAGTTTTATTTCTTATCTTCTATTTGTTACTTGATAAAATGAAGGAATTTACAGATCTGGAATCAGAAAACCATTAAACCTAACAAGTTAAGGTATTCAGGAAAACTGACCTAATTGAATACGTTAACTCATAAGTATACGAAAAATGATAATTCAACCGTGATTTTTATCGAAACTGCAAATAGACCACAATATAGAGCTTGACGTTGCTTTGACAATAACAACATTTGAGAAGTAAACTACGTATACCAAATACAAGGAATAATAATATCCATGTGCTTCGGTATTTGAATCAAGTACAAAGTAAATGGTTGATGCTAATAACGTATATAATAAATCGCAAAGGTCGAAAACTAATTTTTGTCAATCATAATTATTTTCCAAAATGTTAGATAATATGGCCTTACGATATGTAGTCGTAGATGCCGTCACAGCGTTGAACGGGAACGAAGGAGGTGGGAGCTGCTGACCAGATGCTACGAGTGCTGCCATAGACGGTGCGTAGTTAGAAGAGACAGTATGTTCCGAATGGTTACGCAAAGATTTTGTCAGAGCTGACAAAACATGTTGTTCAGTTTGTTTTTGTTGTATCGCTGCCTGGGCAACAGCAGCTCCATTGTTTGAAGTTTGACTCAGTAGTGCTGATGCAGCAACTGCATTCATTGCAACGGTATCAGGTGATATGTTATTATTTTGTGCAGCCATAGCTGCATGAGCTAAATCCAGAGCCAAGTTGCGACTGCTGTTTAACTGAGCGTTATATGATCCTTCCGTTTTTAGCGTTGCCATAATAGTACTTCAAAAGATGATAATGGAAAAGTGGAATAGCACATGATGAGTGAAAAGGATGTTTGAATCAGCAACTAAATACACAATTATTGATTTGAATGCGTCAAAAACCTACATATACATACTGCTAAACTATATTGTACGACCGTACTAATCTAAAAAACTTGAGTCAATTTATGGTTCAGCAGTGAAGAATCAAATTAAGCGTGACAACTAACGTATGATAAGTAATAAGACCGGGCTAAACAATTACCTGGTAAGATCATCCGGTCGCTGATATTTTGACTGAAATCTGGTCAGTCTTGAATGACATGAGCATAGTGCATAGGTTGCGTTTATATATATAAGTCTTGACACGAGTTTAAGCAGAGTAAACGGAATATGGCTGGCAGAGGAATTCATGACGCGTGTTTTCACCTGTTTGATACTAATCATTTGGATATACCTGGATTCCAGAATGGAAGCCAAAGGAATCGGCCTCGAGTTCCGGAATGAACACAGACACTGAGATCCAGATATAAACAGATGATGAGTCCAAAGTAGAAGAAAACGTGAATAGTGAACTCAACTGCTAGCCACATTTCATCTAATCTGTATGAGACTGTCAAAGGGTTTAGAGATAAGTAGTATAAATAAAGTGTCTACATCTTGATAGGCATTCTGACATTAGTCATTTATAAATGTGAGACATTCATACTTGATATGTAAGAGTAAAAATTACGGCATCTAACTATTCAATACCTGAACACATTGTAAGATGGAAACCGAAAGAGGAAATAAACTACTATGATACTTAGCATTAACCTTAAATTTTTTTAGATGGTTAAAGCACACATCGAGTATTTTCTAAATGTATACAAATATAATCGACTAGGATTATGCTAACTCTTAACTTCCTTACTTCCATCAAAGACAAAAATTGATAAGCAACTGAACACCTTAAACATAAAAGTAACTATTTGTATATTTCATGCAAATCCGCCCCGTTATTGTTCCTAGCTTCCAAATGCTCTGGTGGAGGTGGACTTGCCCTACCTCCCGAAATACCGTCACATAGCCAGGCATATGCAGCCTCTGCCAGGGAAGTCCTACTCACTGCCTCCTCGTGGCGGATGTAATGTTTACGAAAATCATAGGACGAAATGCGAATGTCCGCGCTTTAACCGAATTCCTAACCAATGGTGCACATGGGCTGGATCCAATATCCTGATGGAACAAATGGTGTATGAAACAATCGTTGGTCACCGGCTACCATGGGACTGCATCTCCTTACGATGCTTCACTGTCTTGTGGATCAGACCTTCAGGTCAAAGGCTCGGGGTGTGGCCCACTAAGAAAACCACCTGCTTCGGTTTGGGCACCCGGGCAGTATCACAGCTCACACGTAAACATGATGAAATGTTGACATTTATGGAAGATACTTTCTTGCTCCAATTAACAGTCGAACGATCCGTATTATCATTACTATTATTATTAATATTGTTATTATTAGTATTAGTATTATTGTTATTTACCACATCATTTATTCACTCTCTTTTACTCCCACCTTATGTATCCTTATTGTTCAACTTATACAGCAGCTCGTCTATGGTGGAAACTCTGTTCTATCTAGACAATCTCGAGTCACTGACTGGTCGAAAATCGAATGCTACCACCGAACACGAATACTGAGACAGCTTTTCTAAAACTACGTGCACCATTCACACTGGCTGCCTTCAACGTTCGCACACTAATGCAGATCGGATAACAGATAGGGCTGACTATGTCCTTGGAAAGCCTTAATATCGACGTTCGTTGTCTATCCGAGACCTGTATTCGAGACTGGTCAAGTACTATAAATTCGCTCACCATCTGTTGCTTCTAAAATTTTGTTCCGCGTGCATTTATTCGAAAGCCCTGTGGCATCTTCGTCTGATTTCGCTGACATTAGTGTCGCACTAAGCGCTAGAGATGAGGCAGCACTAATTGATTGGATCCCCACTAACAGTCAGTTGTGTGCCGTTAGACCAGAAAGTTCCGTCAAAGTGCGAAGAAATCTGTATGAGAAGTGATATCTTTTCATCATCTCCGCCTATGCTCCGACGGATTGCAGCCTGGATGAGATCAAGGATTAGTTTAACCACCAGTTATCAGTTATTCTACAGAAAGTGCGTTCGACAGATATTGTAGTACTAGTCGGAGACTTGGGTGCTCAAGTCCGGTGTCTAAAAACAGAAAGGAACTGTTTGGGTGGCCAATGAGGACTTGGTCGCAGGTCAGATAACGGTGACCGTCTACTGCAACTGTGCGTAGACCACAACTTGTTTCTGACTAGAACTAACTTTCGGCACAGTCATCGCCAATGCTCCAACTGGCGTCCTCCCTCTGTATCTCATGTCTGGACTCGGATCGATCACATCGCGATCAGTCTGGTGTGAGCGGAACAGTCTGTGAGGATGACGGGATGCCAATCGCTAACATCCATCGACGTCTTGGACGATAGGCAGGATTTTTAGAAGGGCAGTTCAACTGGCCTGCTGCTCCGGCAACATCGGTCAGACTGTCCTGTCCTCTATGGCCGGTGACGACTGATCCACCAAATGAGGCGGAAGTCCGCAAGGAACTCCAACTCTTGAAACGCTACAAATCACCAGGCCCAGATGACTTACCTTCGGCCCTTTTTAAAGATGGTGGTGACTTCCTGGTTAGGGAACTGTCTGGGTTCTTTACCAAAGTTTGGCAATTAGAGAGTGTTCCAACATCATGGAATGAGTCGATAGTTGTCCCTATCTTTAACGAGGGTTCACGTCGTTCCAGTAGCAACTATCGGGGGGTGAATGTAGTTCGATTGCGTTTAAACTATTGGCTTCCGTCATACTTCGTAGGTTGTTCAAAACCCGAGAAAATTGACTCACGAGGAGCAGGCTGGTTTTCGTTCTGGTCGAGGATGTATTGATCATATCTCCACCCTCCACCAAATGCTAGAACACCGTCATACTTATCAAAGGCCAACAATCGTAGTGATTCTTGACATCAGGGATGCCTTCGATTCGTTGGACAGGACTGTTCTCTGGGATTGTCCATTGAAGAAGGGTGTGCCTGAGGAGTGTATTAACATCCTAAAAGCCCTATATGCAAACACTTCAGGCAGAGTGAGGACATACAACTACCTCTCTCCATTGTTCCATTCAAGCAGTGGGGTCACACAGGGTTGTCCAATCTCACCATTCCTCCTCAATTTCGCTATCGATGACGTTATGGAAACAGCTCTGATGGATATAGGTAATGGTGGTGTGGATCTGTTACCTGGAGAAAGACTTCTCGACCTTCAGTATGCGGCTGATATTGTCTTACTGTGCGAGAATGTCCAAGCCATGCAATCCGCACTCAGTCAGTTGGCAATCAGTGTCCGTAGGTATGGGATGTGCTTTACACCCTAGATGGTGAGCAGATAGAGTTAGTTGAGAAGTTCGTGTATCTAGGTAGCTGCATAAGTGCTGGTGGTGGAGTGAGTGATGAGATCGATTCACGTATAATGAAAGCCAGAGCGGATTATGCCGATCTGGACCATCTTTGGCGCCTTCGTGATGTTGGTCTGGCTGTAAAAGTTCGGATCTACAACGCGTCGGTGAGAGCAGTTCTGCTCTATGCTTGTGAAACCTGACCTCTCCGAGTTGAGGATGTTAGACGACTCTCTGTGTTCGACCATCATTGTCTCCGAAGAATTGCTGACATCCAGTGGCAACACCATGTTAGCAATGTAAAGGTTCGGCATCGTCTATTCGGGCATGGAGAAGATAATTCAATTGGTGGTACTATCTTGAGACACCGACTTCGGTGGCTTGGACATGTTCTACGAATGTCGTCTCAGAGAATTCCACGTCGTGCATTATTTGCCGACTCTGGGACTGGTTGGAAAAAGCGGAGAGGTGGTCAGTGTATGACATGGTGTCGTGGTACGAAAGAAAGCTGCAAAGGGCTGGCTTGTGTTGGTCCTTCACGACTCCGTGGCTGGGGTCCGAGAGATGGTGCAACACAGTGGCTATAGACGTTATCAGATATAGCTCAGAATAGAGGCCAGTGGTGATCCTTCTGTACCTTTGCTTTCTTTATAAAAGCGAGAGTAACTCCTTTAACTGAAAGAATTCTTTGTAGTTTTATTATTCCTAACTGAACTGCTTCTCCCATTAGTTTGTTTTTATTGTTGTTCTTTCTCCTTACATTCACCTTTTCATCTGTAGTATTACAACCTTATTTTTATTGTGGTGCATTTATATTTTGGTGTTCCTTTGTACCAATATCTACGTGTTCAAATAAATGAATCTGAGATTGACTGACAATCACCACTGGAAATCTTACCAAAGGTGCGCATGCGAAAAATGACCACTTAGCTTTTCAGGAAGCCTATACTCTAACAAAGACTAGATAATTCAGTTAAGAATATCAGCCGTAGGAAAACGAGACCGCTGAGATTAATGAAAAATACTGTTTATTACAGACTTGGGTTTTGATTTTGTATCTCTGGCTATCCAAGTGATGAGTAAATAGTAGTGTTTCTATTCACCGTTAGTTCCTTTATAATCGTTATTTATTTCTTTAAATAATTTACTAGAAGAATGGTATTTATACATAGACTAAAGTGAAGTTATGGAATCAAAATCAAACTAAGTGAAATATTACACTAAAGGGAAAACCACTTGGTAGTAGGACAAGGCGATTTTTATACCTGAAGAATGAGTATTATGCTCAACTACAAAGTCATATTCGCTACTTCCGTTGAGTACATTGGTCACAACCAACATTTTTCCCGAGTAAAATTACTAACATAACCTTATGAAAGCAGAAATTCATATGACCACAAAAGTGAATGCAATTCATCTCCAGTCAGTCAGCTGCAACGTAGGACCAGGCACATATATGCATCGGTCCAAGTTGCCATACCGCATTAGCACAACAAGATGAACACCGGATTCATAGAAGTAGTCACATCAAAGGTAATAGTATATAAAAGAAAGATTGTGTATAAGGATATAATACAGGAAGGAAGAATTAGTTCGTAGAAAGAAAGATATGAAGCGATTTTAATCACTTAGTTTACGGGAAGACAGAGAGCGTATGCATTGACGCCATTGTGATCGATTCTGGGCCATGTCACCAAAAGTCTCTAACCATTGGTTACGATAGCCACGCGGACCCCAACCAGGCAGTCTGCATCTACCAACATGGCTCAGACCAGAAGTTAGAGACTTCAAGCACTGATGCCACGTTTTGGTTTGGCCGCCCCTAACTTTCTTCCAATTAATATAAACCTGAGAAATGTTATGGGTGACCGGAATCAGTATTGTTGTGATCTTTCATACTTGTTATTAATGATCATTTGTAATGTGGCAACGTAATCTACGCCTGCTTTTACATGTTGTACAAAACTATACATATTGTGATGTTTACTCGTGTAATTGTATTTTCTTTGAACAAATACACTTTTGAAAGCCCTGTCTTTCTCTGTATACTTATTCATTGACAGTTACCATAGCTGAGGCGTCGTGTAATAGTATCCGATTCATCTAGTCCGCATTAGACAGGCCTTTGTATTAGAAATTTTCCGATCATTCTCACATTGTATCCCAACAATATCTAAGACTTAACAAGGGAGTGCCGAGGACTCACAACCGATAACTTGAATATATAACATAATTGCAGCACAAAGTATTTAGCTTCATACTGAACGAGCGTGAATATATCAGAAACGGTCACACCGACGAAACAGAACCTTGAACACGATGTGGAATTGCAACGTTTCTGAACTAAAGTTATCCCAACTCATACACGTATAGATTTAAGAACTGGAGCTTTGGTTCACACTTGCTATAAGTTTTAAAGAGATACTACCCGCTTCCAAAAAAATGTAGGAGGAACAACGTTTAGACTTGAGGCACAACTGTTCTACTGTTGACGAAATCGGATCTATGAAGTAAAATGAGTACCGAGACCAATTATTGCTAGTTAGATGGGAAACACCTCATGACCGTAAGTTAAATATCGGACTAACTTGAAAGTATTCTTTGCGTACGAGACTGTTACTGCTTTTCCTCCAACCTCAAAAAGCTTGAATTCTTTGTTTACTATATCCATGACTTTGTAAGCATCAGCAACCGTGGGAAGCTCCGCAAAAGCAAAGCACCTGGAAGCATGTGTTACTTCATCCCTCATTACATGACATTGTCGCACCTTTACGTCAGCCGTATCTTGAAAAACCTGGCAAATGTCATCTTCCGTAGTTAATGCATCCAAGCATCTCAAGACGAGAGCTGAAAATCCAAAATATCTATTCAGTGATTTTTCAACTAATAAGCAAATCATAAATAGCACGAAACATGAAAAAGCCAAGTGTTTTGAAAAGCAAAAAGTTGTCATACTGTAACTGAGCTTTGAGTATGTCACTGGTTTAGGTCGAAACCTGCCAATATGGTTTTTAGGTGCGGATACATTAAATGCAAACGATTAGTTATTTCTCAATAAAATGACACAAATTGACTACCTCCATTACCATGATAATCTTAAACTGGAAGTATAAGAACTTCAATTGATTATTTAGATAACAGGAATTATCTCCATAAAATATTCATGTGGTTAATTCTAAACATTTCTTCTCTTTAAGCAGCATTGTCTAGTACAGAAAACTTTAAGCAGACATAAATAAACTTATTCTATTAGCGAGAATCACTTCGTTTAGTGGCCTACTGTTCTTGTGGTGGTTTGCTTTGATGTTACCAAGCTATATTTCACAATCAAAAATTGGGACTGAATGTTTGTTCTCACTATCAGCAGAACAGTAACTACACGCAATAATATTATCTTTTTTGCATCAGTTCGTGAAGTTAGGCAAAAGGGTATTTTTCCTAAGAGTATATCTGTGATGGCGGTACCATCACTCATCACTTCTAGACAAGGTGATCTGAACGAAGATCAATAAACTTCGAAGAGCATCCCAACTGGTCTTTTATTGACTGCTACTCACGGATAGTATTAATGGGAGGTCATGTAGTTAAAAACACCGCAACTAAAGTGAACCAAAAACAGCAGTAGGACCTGGTGGGTTAGCTTTAAAGGTATTTGAAAAAGTTTGTCCCATGTAATTCACTGATATGTTAAGCAGAGCGTGGGATTTCTCCACACAGTGACGACATTGATATTTTTGATGCAAACTGCGTGCCAATTACAACTAGTAGTTGTAGACCTCAGATATAATGACTCGAAACCAATCGCTGTGACGTAGGTGTATTTGTGATTTTCTCTTACCCTAAACTTAAGGTTTTAGCATTTCATCTCCTAATTAAATAATGTTGTGTCTAATGTTTATTACAACCATAAACTACGACTGTGATGTATGCTACTTATGTCGGTAGATATAAGTAGTATGTAACATCAACCGGTAATTGAAAACCCGACAGCAGAAGGTTATGAAGGTCTCTTCACTGTACATCATTTTCTGGAGTTGCATCTTGGTGTTAAATGCTGTGATGAGTTTACAAAGGTAATTATAAGTAAGTGATGCTAAATCGTTAGTAGCGAATTTTTGAGTGGGGCCCTCAAGATGGTCATAATACATGGCTTGGGATATTATCATATATGGTTTAACATAGAAGGTAATAGTGATTCTATTGTAGTTTTGTATTACATTCTTTATAAAGAGGCACGTTCTAAATGGACGGAATTTACTTCGGTAATCTTTATCATCGCACAGTATTTTGTACTTAATGCCTCTCTTGTTTACACGTATGTTTCTATGACCTCTTATTACTTCATTCTATTGACACATTTTGGGTACTCTATGCTACAACAGCTGTTTTGTGAATAACTGAGTATACCTAGGGAAAATAATATAAAAGAGAGAACGGCGAAAAACGCTAGACATTTTGGTATTATTTTACTTACTATTGCATGGAGTTGTACCGATGAGATCAACACCATCGACTGAGTTTGTGAGGGATTGCACTTGAGACCTCGGCAACTGACATTTATAGCACTGATCTCGCCTTCTGAAGTTGTGACTAGAACACTAGATAGGAATTAACCAGTAGAAGGGTCGGATGAATTATTACTTTAGAAGTTATTCCCAGCACGATAAATTTAAATTTCGAAATAACTGTGAGATGAAATACTTAAATAATACCCACCCTTGAACAGATCCAGTCTCCGGTGGAGACTTCTGACAACGCAGGAGGACGAGTCATAAAGCTTGACGGACCAAGTAACCCGGGGGCATCTCCAGAATGATGTACCAATGAATCAAGCTGGTTGCGGGGAGTGCTGTACATCAATCGTATTTCATAGCGTCGCACACGAAACATACCCTAAATAACGAAGAAAACATATTTAAATAAGGCTATTTCATACAGATTAGGCCCATGATTCCAAACTATACGACAATTACGAGGTGAAGATAAGCATGTTTAGGAAACTTGACAAAGATAACCTGTACTGTGAATGCATTACTTTTTGATGGTCCATCCAACGTCTTGCTTCATGGACAGAAGCGAAATCCACAAAACCGAAGCCCTTCGATATACCTGCGAACAGATTTGAATAAGACAGGAATAAAGCAACTGCAGAGAAAAATTCTTTATCGACAAAATTCACTATTAGGAATGCGATTTACAGGTCCCGACTCGGAAAACTGGAAAGTTCAGCCAGGAAACAGTGAAGAATAGCCTTTTCCTCGTAATCTAGGTTTGAATTCCAAACCGTAAATGCATTGAACTAAGTTTCGAATTTAGTTTGTTGTGCCTAAGTGACTACAAAAACTATTTTCACACTGAAACTTTAGGTTTAATCGTTAAAACAGTTGGTTGCCTATAAGAGCTACGAGCTAATCTCTCCTTTCTTACTTTTTAGTGTGATGGATTATTTTAAAATCAACAATTAGAGACCTAAGCACAGAAGCTTGTATACATTCTTCAAGCACTATATTCATGAGGATAACAATCAGAACGTATAACACTTAATAGTTTTGACATTGGAGAAAATATTAACCTTCAAGATTAAACTCTTCAACGAAACCAAGTTCCTAATGGGTCATCTTAGTTTAGAAATGAAAGCTTATGTTGACATCTTGGATATCATCAATTAGATGGCATTTAGTGCAGGACTAATAATCATATGGAACCCTTAGAGCAAAGATTATGACAGGCTTTGCTAATCAGTTCTTTTACACTAGAGTCCACACTTTACTGTTTGGTTTTACGCTTTCGGGATTAATGACCAATTCCACCGGAAATATGGATGTCTGTGTCACGAGAATATAAGTGCAGACGAAGCGGCAACAAGAATCAGAAATATGGCTAGCTGAAACCATTAGCTAGGGCGTACTATAAGAATGGAGACCAAACAAGATACTAAGAAAACCAATCTAGTGAGACACACATATGTTAATATTAATAGGGATTTTTTGAGGACTAGATGTAACGAAAAACTTGTGAATAATTATTTGAAAGTTTAATGATTTGATAAGTTACAAAAGTAGTTACATATAACGATCCACACACAATCCAATAAATGATATAGCCTCAGAATATTTTCCACGCAGGAATTTGATTAAGTTAATCAATTATTAGTAACATAAAGGTGAAAGCAAGTTTACAATCAACAAACAACTTATATTTCAACAGTTTACTGAAGCGGGAAAGGAAATAAATACATACCCGTTGTTTTATCCTTGATTACACGAACGTCTAAGTAACTCACGCGAGCATCATCAAGAGCGTCACGAATCTATAAATGAACTGAGTTGAAACAATACGTACATCACGATGATCAAGGGAAGTGGGAATCCCACGCAGCATAATAGTTGGTGATGCATCGTCGAACTGAAAGGATTAATCTTATAGACGACCTTACTTCCTCATCACGCTTTTCCTTAGGGTTGCTATAGTTAAGCCTAATTGTCGTTTTTCGGACCTCAATCTCTCCCTAGACAATGCACGGCTTGAAAGTCTGAACCTTACCTGGCAATCTCGCATAAACTGTTTAGCATCATTTGCTGATACAAAATCAACAAATCCAATCCACCTTCCAGTTTTCTTATCGCGAACAAGACGTACGTCAGTGTAATTTGCGTGCTCACTATCAAGTGTACGTCGAACCTTAAACAATAAAACTCCAGTAAATCTGCACTTACATCACGCTCCGTTGTTGACGAAGTCAAGCCACGCAACATAATCGTTGGGGTAGGTATGTCCTGTAAAAAAACTCAAAAAACCGACTGCAACAAACCATTTTAAAAGTTTCCAAAATAAGGAAGTGAGTTAATTATGAGGGCTTTCGTGCAGTAATGGGAAAAGTTGAGATCCAGCGTTAATGTTCTGGAATTTGAAGAACTTGACTGCTGAATACGAAATTCAAGGTACTGAAAGAAGTTAACCAGTAAGGTATATAAGCATCACTAACTGTTTTGACAGGAAAACAAGCCTACACCGATAAGATGAACAGAAGCGGTTTTCACTAACCGCGCTTCAGTATTGAGGAGTATCACTACTTAAAACAACATCAGCTTGTTACTTATGACATAACTATCAGGTTTCTGTTCAGACCATAAAAATTGGTAGATGAGATCACATTATCCCTGTTCGTTTATAACTGGTACACTGGTTTTCCTCAACATGGTCATGTTGTGAAGGATTATCGTGCCTCATGAAGGAAACACACCAGGAAACCATGATGAAAAAAGACTGCTATTGCTCTAGTGCTACCATTATGTAATTATTCTACTGAAAAGCCTATAGACTAAGTGCTAGGTTCGTTAGCTTGAATGCTACTACTGATTCGTCCTACTCGGAACGGAACGAAAGATCAAGGATTCAGAGACTCGATAGACTATTCTGGTCCGTTGTCCCCGACTCAGTTAACTCAATCAAGAAATCTTGGTAAGACGTAGAAAGTGTATATTACAGGCAACCAGCAGATACCAGGTCAATCAGGCACACAAATCAAGCGTATTTTTACAAATATATATAATCGATATTGTCATATAAATTTTTGAACATTCATCAATAAGTTCGTCAATCGACTTCCATTCAAATCTTTAAACATTTCATCGATAAGTTAATCGATGATATAAAATTACAAAATGTGAGTTTTGGGGATCTACCGTCATCAACACCAAGTAAACTCAGTGTCATCATTTTATACTGGTCCTTATCATTTTAATAGTTCTATTTTCTCTACCTTGACGGCCTGCTATTCTTTTTCAGCTCTGAAACAAAAGTAATGGCCTAAAATTGATGTCGCAGTTGATAATTAGTATTCTGACCCTTATTTTTGTTTGAATTTATTGACTTTCAGTAGTTCGTCATGTCAGTACAACTATGCCCATTCGTTTGTTAGGAACTTTAATAAGCTATCCATTCGCTAGATCGTTTCGAGAAACGGTAATGAGTGAAAATTTAAATGGACATTGTATGAACAACTCCAGGATCCCACGCGTAATGGCTCGTAAGTCACATTCATGAGGGATACCGAATGCTACTTGTATCCTAACTTCGCTACAGAATACATTTGGCAGGAATGATCGAGTGGTACATAAGTATTCGTCAAAACGACATTCCTAAAAATCTGCCACAGGCTTATCCACGCACTCTCATTTCACATGGAATTCAAAAATGAATGTTAACATAATGATTTCCCATATATGGATGGTTTGGTTAATGAAATATTTTTACCCTACATCCTAATATCTACTATAGTTGTAAACTTCTGATGCTTTCGGAAGTAAGCTTTTCCTTGCTCTAAATTAACCCAGAAGAACTGTCAAACTTGAAACATCGGAAAATAAACGTAATGAACATGGGAAAACGGCATTGATCTTACAAAATCATAATTATTCTGTAAAAAATAACTAAAAATCTATCTAGAAAAAAATCATTGTTGTTGATAGGAAATGAAGTGTCGTGAGTTGGTATGGTTGTTTTCCTTCATCGTGACCGTATGGTAGACAAAACGTATCAAAAAAGGATATATTATTAAAGTTCTTGTTGGGTTATTGCCCTGTCTACCCAATAATTTACAGATGAGGACTTGTCTTGATATAGGTTGAGGCTTTTACACGAGAAGTTAACTGACTCAACTATGAGGCTAAAAACGTATGTCTACATCAAGACACTAACGATATTGTACAGAAAGTTGAAAAATTTTGTACTACCTGACTTTTTTGGCAAACAAGAGAGCAAGAAAGAAAACGCGTCTACTGGCACACCACTCTATTTATTCATGACTCGTAATTCTGTTTGGTGTAAAATCGATACGTAAATAAATAGCTGAATAAGACAAGCACAACGCACAAACTGGGCATCAAAGTAGTAAAATAAAGTAAAAGTGGCTATGCTTAAATTGCAACAGCCTTGAAAGAGAAAAAAGATTGGCATTGAATCATACATTAAAACCAAGCTTATCGTTTGTAGAATAGAATAGGAACAAAACTGAATGTCAGAATTTAACAAACCTTGAAGTGAGTGAAATAACGTCCTCAAAAATAGCTTCCGTTGCTTTTAATCATCTCTTTATTTCTCTTTTTACATCAACTCACCATGAAACAAGCAACATACTCTCAAACTCTTTGACTGAATAAAGATATACAGCTTGCGTCAATGTAAAATCATGTCTCAACAAGAGAGTGTACCGACTAAAACCTTCCTTGTATTTATGTGTTCTTGTAGTGGCATTGTACCTTAACCACACAATCTCCAAAGCTGAACACGAAACAAATGGGTAAATAGATATTCAACACAGGGAAAAATCTAACGATGTTGAAGGCGGGAAGAATGAATAGAGTAAATTCGAATTGATCGGATGTCATACCTCGGCCTTGCAGGCGTGGTCAGTGTTTACAGTTGTTATATACCTTCTATTGATGTTAAAGATGTTGTTCTATCTCTAGCCTAAGCGTGTTCTTCATCATATATTGATGATTGTCACGATGCGATGAGTCAGTGTAGACAATGATGTGACTTTACGTAAGATCTTATGGATTAGGCAGTTACATCATGACAAATATACAATTTTTAGATTAAGCTTATTATTAGAGCAGTATTGATATCACAGTAGACCGTAACTCTACATTCTTTTGTAAATCAAAAAGGTCTGAGAATCGGACTCGAAAATCTACAGATTGAATTAAAAAGAACAGTGAGTGATACATTCAACTAAAATCAGAGTAAATTTGCAAACGTCGTGATAATTTCAAAAAACCTCTTCAAATTAAAAGGAAGATATCCGGATGACATTTATCTGTTATTAATATGTAAGTGATTCGATTGCTCTCGTTCCGTCGACAACATATGAAAAGCATATGCTTTTCATTTGTGTATATCTGAATGAGCGCAACAAATATGTTTTGTTTTCAGCGTCAGATTTGAAATGGGCTGACAAACACGTCTTCCTTGACTTTAGTCAATTTTGGAGAAAATTTTACCTATTTTGGGGAAGCCGCCATTATAAACTTTGGGGAAATGGCACAAAAACCCCAAAATTTCCCCAACCTTTGGGGATTTACCCAAAATTTCCCCAGACCTTGGGGATTTCTTACCCTAAATTTTGGGTTTTTCCCCGAAATTTCCCCAAACTTTTGGGTTTTTACCGCAAATTTCTCCAAACGTTTGGGTTTTTACCGTAAATTTCCCCACACTTTGGGGTACTTCTACCTAACCGTTTTAACGCAAAACCTATACCGAAATCTCCAGACATCACTGAAAACCTTGCGAGAATACCTACGTACATTTCTTACTGTGATATTAGATTATTTTTAGCCAACTACGTCTTGCCAAATAAACTTAACGTCAATGCATTTATCGGTTTTATTAAAACACCAGTTATTGAAATATTTTAATATTTATTATAGTTAATAAAATATCACAGATTATTTAATAATACGACGTTTATCATTGTTCCATTTCTGTTACACGTTAAGCAGAAGTTGAACTATGGTTTGTTAGGTTCTAAAAAATTGAAAAAAGACTTTTTAGTCTACAATCACATATGAACAAATGTAAAACGCAGATGACGTAATTTAAAGTTAGACAATGCTTTCAGTAATCCGAACAAATAACTTACAGTTACGTCGGATAAAGCCTGCGAAGCCAGCTGAAAACAAGAGGAATATGACAAAAGTGTTATCACTATAAACATTGATCACAAAGTAATAATCGAACTGCAATATACATTATTGCTTTGGCTAACCTTTTCTCTGGATCGCCATCCGCGTTTATAAACTTTATCTCTTGTGTCATGCAAGAAAGCCTGGCTTGCTGTACCCATGGCGTGTATCAAATCCTTTTCCGTACAGGTCGCACTTCGAAAATGGGAACACAGAACACCTATCAATGTGTTAATGCAATAGTGTGTACTTACTTTGAACGGTTGAGTAAAATTTGTATTTAATAATACCCAATTTTTTTTAGTTCCGTGCAAAGTGTAGTTGTCTGCCAGTTCCGGCGAAAGCACGTAACTCAGACAAGCTTTCGCTGATTTCCGAGGATCGTTACAGAAGAACACGTTTAATCTTCCCACCTACAATTCGTTCAAATACCTGTAACAACTTACGAAGTAATCCCAGAACTGGATGTTATCTAACGCAGCTTCTAGAGAACGCAAGTTCTCATGCGTTCTTAATGGAAATGCTATAGCAGCGGTGTCTAACGGCTCCTTACGCCTGTCAGTAACACCCATGGGTAAGCGTTCGATGTAGGTTATCATTTTATCCATCTTGCTAGATAGTTCACCTACCGCCATCAGCAGCATTCTGAACATTTTTGGGATGTCGTCGCCCAACCTTTGGTTTTAAGGTAACCAGTAAATGCAACTTACGATTTATCTACTGCAGACTTGATTTCAACCCCATTCCGAGAATTTTAGGCTCCACGTCGTTGCATCTGCGTAGAACACTTCGAACGGATGTCGGTAGTTCAGGTATGCGCGCTCGAAAGAGGTCCAGAATTCCATCAGCCTTCTTAACCGTTATATCACCACCTGTCATCATGCCTATGACAATTCTGTCGACCTCTCCTTTCATTGAAGCATGACTGGGTGGAGACATTTTTGAAATCACATCACCTATACATACTTAATTAAGGAAGATACACTACCATAGACTGCAGTGCCAGCACACTGGACATAGCTACATGAAGCAGTGCCTGTTCCTGAGACGATACTGTTACACTGCTCTGTAGCTACCGCTCTACCTATTCCGGTGATGGCAACAGAATTCTTGTCATCTTCGTCACTGC